ATTTCTACTTATAAAGTTATGTCTTTAACTTTTAACATATTATACTTAATTTATTAGATTTAATATGTTGTTGTATGTAAACCCCTATCAGTTTAAAGCTACAACTTTTGAACAGTTTGGATAAAATACTTAAATTGTTAATTTAAATATAACATTACATTGTCAACTTAAATATAAATTTCAGTTCCACTTAAAAAACACAAAGAATATTGTGAATAGTTAAAAGTGATAAATTATAGTGCTAAATGTAAAAACTAAATTGTAATCTTAATTTAACAAAAGTATTTGCTAAAGATATTTTTATAATCATTAAAAGTTTTCAAATAAGTAGCTTAAAATAACTTACAATAACAATAGTTAAAAATAACTATATATAAATGATTATATTGTTACCTTTAAAATCAAAAAACAATGTTTGATGTTTTAAATAATTACAATTAAATAAATTAAAACGTTAAGCTAATAAATTTTAATAAATTAATTAACAATAACAACAACTATATAACATTAAACCATATACTACTTTTTATTTTCATTCATGAGTAACCCGTGGGTAAATGTCATTCAAACGATTGAGATTATGCAGTTTTAATAGATGTATATATTATCATATAATTCAAAATAATCAATATATTATATCAACTTAGTATACGAATTAGGATATCAAATTTAACAACAACATTATTGTTATAGTTAAGAAAACATATATTTTTAAAGATTTCAATTATATAGGTGTTTCTACGCATTACGCGGGCATTCACCTAGTCATACTATATTATAAAGGAAACATTTTTCCTTTCACCACATTCATTTGAAACTCATGCATTTTTCCTTTCACCACATTCATTTGAAACTCTTATGACTTTTCAATTTCTTTCTAATAGTAATTATAAGTTGGTTAATAAGGTTAAATAAATATCAAACCTAAAGTATAATCATATATAAACTAAATTTTAATATTAAAATAATATCTTTACTTCTATTTATAAAGTTATGTTTTTTTTAACTTTTAACATATTATACTTAATTTATTAGTTTTAATATATTTTTGAATGTAAACCATTATCATTTTAAAGATACAATTTTGGAACAATTTGTATAAAATACTTAAATTACTAATTTAAATATAACATTACATGGTCAACTTAAATATAAATTTTAGTTTAATTTAAAGAACCTAGAAAATATTTTGTAAATAGTTAAAAGTGATAATTTGTAGTGTCTTTCTAATAATGATTATAAGTTGGTTAATAAGGTTAAATAAATATTAAACCTAAAGTGTAATCATAAATAAACTAAATTTCAATTTTAAAATAATATCTTTACTTCTACTTATAAAATTATGTCTTTAACTTTTAACATATTATACTTAACTTATTAGATTTAAAATGTTGTTGTATATAAACCATTACCAGTTTAAAGCTACAACTTTTGAAAAGTTTGAAAAAAATATTTAAATTGTTAATTTAAATATGACATTACATTGTCATCTTAAATATAAATTTCAATTCCACTTAAAAAACCAAAGAATATTTTATAAATAGTTAAAAATGATAAATTATAGTGATAAATGCAAAAACTAAATTGTAATCTCTATTTAACTAAAATATTTCCTAAAGATATTTTTATAATCGTTAATAGTTTTCAAATAAGTAGCTTAAAATAACTTACAATAACAATAGTTAAAAACAACTCTATATAAATGATTATATTGTTAACTTTAAAATAAAAAAACAATATTTGATGTTTTAAATAACTATAATGATAGAAATTAAAACATTAAGCAAATAAATTTTAAAAAATTTATTAACAGTAACATCAACTATAAATAATATTAAACCATATATTATATTTTATTTTATTCATGTGTAATCGCGTGTAGAAGTCATTCAAACGATTAAGATTATGCAGTTATAATAGATGTATATATTATCATATAATTCAAAATAATCAATATACTATATCAATTTAGCATATGAATTATTATTTCAAATTTAACAACAACGTTATTGTTATATTAAAAAAAACATTTATTTGTAAGGACTTCAACTATATAGGTGTTTCTGCGCAACGCACGGACATTCGCCTAGTATACTTATAAAAGATGCATTTTTACTTGCACCATATCCATTTGAAACCTCAATGACTTTTCAATTTCTTTTTAATAATTATTATAAATTGGTTAATAATGTTAAATTAAGGCAAAAACTAAATTCTAATCATAAATCAACTAAACTACAATATTAAAATATCATATTTTACTTCTATAATTCTATCTATAAATTTATGACTTTAACTTTTTAACATATTATAGTTAACTTATTAGTTTAGATATGCTGTCGTATATGAGCAATTGTCATTTTAAAGTTACAACTTTTGTATAATTTATGATTTTATGCAAAATAGTTAAATTATTAATTTCAATATAATGTTAAATGGTTAACTTAAATCAAATTTTCAGTTAAACTTGAAAAAAATCGAGAGACTATTTTATAAATAGTTAAATGTTATAAATTATAGTGGTAAACCTAAATTGTAATCCTAAATTAACAAAAAAAACCATGAAACTGTTTTTTATAATCATTAATTTTGTTTAAATAAGTAGCTTAAAAATAACTTACAATAATAATAGTTAAAGTAATATTATATAAAAGATTATACTGTTATCTTTAAAAATAAAAACAATGTTTGTTGTTTTAAATAATTACAATAAAAAAACTAAAAATATTCCTCAAATAAATTTTTAAAAAAGTTAAATTTCTGAAACCAAATTAAAATAATTAAGAGTTTCCAAATACGTTATTTTAAATAACTTACAACAACAATAATTAAAAATAACATTATATACAAAAATTATATTATTATGTTTAAAAAACAAAAACAATGTTTGATGTTTTAAATAATTACAATGATAGAAATTAAAATTTTAAATAGACATCTTTAAAAATTCTATAATTCAAGACAAACAATGTTTTAAATAATTACAATTATAGAAATTATATTATTATCTTATCATATAATTCAAAACAAACAATGTTTATACAAACTTATTATGAGATTTATTATATAAGAGTTAACAACGTCATTAATATATTTAAAAAACATATATTTGTAAAGATTTCAAATATATTGTTGTATTCTGCGCAACGCACATGTATTCGCCTAGTAAATTATAGACAAAGTTGCATAAATAATCTTTATGGTTTACCCATGGTCAAAAATCCAGTCTCTCCTACTTAAAAAAACCAAAAGTAACAGTGTGAGTAAAAAGGATCATTCATGCAAGTTTCGAAAACTACAAAGACCATGTTTGGCAAAAAAAAAGCAAATATTGTGTTTGTGATATTTAGTAAACCACAAAGATCATTTATGTAATTTTTTCTTAATTAATCTATACTAATAAAATTAATTAATATGAATTCATAAATGGAAGGTTGTTATCTACATTAATATACATTAACATATTAATAGAAATAAAAATTCACAAATGGAAGGTTATTAATTACATTAATACACATTAATTAATATATTAATAATATTAATTAATATCAGGTGACATTTAATAAATATAGTTTAAATAAAAAATGAAAAAAAAATACAAAAATGACAAGTGAAAAAAATTAATTTTAAATTCCTAAAAAATGAGATGTGTCAAATCCAATGAGAAGTTGACATTTGGCAAAAACAGTCCTTATTTATCATGATAGATTTTTGGGTATTAGATGTTTTAGGTTTTGGTATTTTTATTTAATGTATTTTTAAGTATTGTATTTTTTTAACTATTATATATTTTATTTTTAAATTTATGATTATGTTTAAAAATATAATGATATGAAAATCTATTAAACTTTGTAGGTTGAATGAGTGTGATGTTAAAAGGTAAAGTTGACTAAAAAGTGATATAGTATAAAATCTATCTAATTTAGAGTCTAACTTAGAATTTAATGGACTATGAATACCATTGATTAATTAATTTGAATATACTCTAAGGGCATTTCCAATCCACCCCTAAACTCCATTTTTCCCAAATTTCTTCTCTTATTCTTCTCCAACCCTACCCCATTTCTATCTCCATTTTTAAAGATATGAATAGTATTCTCCTATATTTGGGGGAATATTATTCATATCTTCAAAAATGGAGTTGCAGTTTTGGTTGCTGATTTTAGTCCCTCTCTTTTTATTTTATACATTTCTAGTTTATTTTTATCTATTAATTATAATTTAAATGCAATATTTAATATTTGTAATATTATGTTATATACAAATTTATATTAATTAAACATAAATATAAACTTAATATTTATTTATCGAATTCACATAAAAAACTAAATATATACTAAAAAATTGAAACACGATAACATAATTTATAAAATATAGTATTCGAATATGTTTGTGATCTTGATATATTTATTATAAATATAATCTTATTTATTTAATAATTAATTATAATATATTAATAATTAATCTAAAATTATTATATATAAATATTTTATTTATGATAATATAATTTGTAGTATTATTGTATTTAAAAAAATATAATATATATTTGTTAAAATCTAATTAGTAGAGGGGTGTATTTGATAATATATATAAGTTATAAAAATGAAATATTCTAAGAATATGCTTTTTGAGGTAAAAAAATGGGGTAAAAAATGAAGTAGGGTTGGAGATGAAACACTATTTACTTCATTTTTTTATTGTATTTATGGGGGGAAAATGGAGATGGGTTGAAGATAGTCTAAGAAAAAAATATTATTTATGAACGTACGTCACATGTTTTGAGTTAGTTTATTTTGAATCAATTACTCAAGTTTGACCAAGTACAACATGAAATGGTGTAAAGTTCTATGATATGCTCGTGAATCGTTCAAACATAGATTAATCATACACAAACATCATCTTCATTCAAGATAGATGCTTGCATATATCCACAAATCGTGCACTGATAGACGCAAGAAACTAGAAAGTCCAAAATCACAATACAGAAAATTTGGATCTAAAATTTTCATGTTATAATTGAAAACAATTACATGAAGCACAAAAAGTACACCAGATTTAAGCATAAAATCTCAATCTAATGACAAAATTGACCAAGTAAATAAATGTCACCGGAATGAGACTAACAAATGACCGGACATTTCAGTCTGACAGCACCAAAATAACAAATTTACAAGCGCCATGAAACCTATATATCTATAACCATGATCGAGCTTCGACTCCATGATCTTCAAAAATGTTCCAATTAACAATTTGGAAACTGTGTTAGACCTGTGGCACTTTTACCAAAAGATTGCTGCTCACGATGCTGCAAACATTGCATGGTAAGAAAAATATTACGAATTTTGAAATGAATGACTGTAAAAAGAAAAAGAAAAAACGAGCTTTAGTTATATGGTTTACCTCTTAACATAATAGTAACAGAAGTCTGCCAATATGAATGTTTGAACAGCCTCTGATACCAAAACCATCGGGACCCAAAAGTAGCCACGTCCAAGTAAGAACAGATACGCTTCAGTAGATTCATACACCTGAATAATTAAAGAAAGATGATTAAAAGACGATTATTTGCAATTAAAAAACGTGATCGATGTAGCTTGAAAATGGTAACTAACCCGTAGAATCCAATAAGCAGCCCCAAAAAATCTCGACACTCCTAGTGCAAACACGTAATGGGCAGTAAATGGTTCGATCATCTGAAATGAGTTAAGAGTTTGAGCGATGACGAATGGATTAGTTTTTGTTATTGTGTAAATTGTAATGTAAAACAAAAGCACACATGCATGCACCTTTGTTCTTTGCATCATCCGAAGTTGAGGAAACACTACAATGGCTTCCAAGTACACACCAAATGCCCACTTCATCTTGGAGAATAGAGGAATAACACTGTTGGGGTGAACAAATACGGCCATGATAGCACAAGGAATCAACTAAAACAAGATAAATCAAACCATTTTAAGATCAAATGCATTCAAGCAATTGGATTGAAACAGAAGGAATTGAAGAGGTTGAGTTTATATATATTATATACCAAATAAGATTTGGGTGTTTTGTCGAGATGCTCGTTGTATGATTTGTATAGCTTAAACCGCATCATGTAAATTACCCAAGCAGTAGCCACGAATGCAGCAATGTCGAGAACAGTGTGGACGTTGTATCCAATAACGGGGCTACAAGAAATCCGAACAGCTAGAACGATAGCCGTGAGCTCTTGTGTCTGCAACGAAAGGCCTACGTACAAACAAGATCATCATCATCCCATCAAATTAACATCAAACCCTAAATCGAACAATATACCTGAACACGTTTTTAGGGTACTGAGCTTGTAAATTAGAACAAAAATTCCTGCAGCGTGAACGGATTCAGCGGCTATGAAGAAATTATTGTAATTTTGAACGGAATGTTTGAGGATGACGAGGGCGGAAATTATTGCCGTAATGGCTAAGAAGATCTTCGCCTTCGTCGATTGCCTTCGGACCCATGAGAACAATGTGTTCACGGACGAACTTCTTCTCTTCCCCATGATCGATTGACGCCGCGTGGTCGTCGAAAGATCAGCTCCTCCGCCTCCTGAAGGTTTATTCCTTCTTTATTGTCGCCGGAGGAGGAGGGCGGGCCTGGCTGAAAGACGATTTTAGAATGGTGGCTTTCAGGGCCCATATATAGTTTCCTGAAATTCGACACGTGTAACTATTTTGAATCGTGTGGTTTCTATATTTAGAATATTGAAACTAACTCTAACGATTTGACTACGTGTTTGGAGAGGCCAAGCTTCTCGGGTTGATCGTTGCAATTTAAATTCATATTCATAATATTTAATATTAGGGGAAAATTACATATTTATCCAATAACATTATACATTTTTCCTAGGGACATGAAATTACAAATGCAATATTGAACATTTAGGTTGCCCCAATTTGATTGGTTAGAACGTAAAGCCTGCTTATGCAATCCTCAAACACATCAAACAAGTGGAAAATGATTTACCTTCTATGATTCCCCTAAGACTATCGAGAGGTCTATATGGCCACTAACCATAAATGAAAACATCATCCCAAGGTGTTAGTGATAGCTAGTAGTAGACAACTTTCATAGTCAATTGTGGTGGGGAGAACGAACCACCACACCCAATGTAACACCCCGTTTCGAAGACAAACCCAAAAATCACAGAATGTGTTTTAAGTATTATTTTATTCCGATATATATTTTAAATAAAAGAGTTTTAATGAAAAAGTGTGTAGTTGACATTATAATTTGTTTTGGAGGTCTAAAGAGTGCTTTCGGGGTTCGTGGTGTAAAGAACATTTGAGCATGTGGCTAAAGAATAATCGATTGGGCTTGTTTGGTAAATATTAGACTTAAATTGAAAGTATTTTGTAGAGGAGAGGCTATTTGGTTAAATTTGGATTTAATTTGAAAGAAAAATAGAAGGAGGGGCCGAAAGTGTTAATATGGCGGAAGTTTTGATTTTGGACGGGGGTATATATCCTGTCACCTTGTCCCTCAAACCCTAACCCTACTCTAACACATCAGCTGCCAACCTTATGTCCCCCACCACCGACCGCCGCCGCCTCCTTGCCTGTTGAAGCCGGAGCACCCATCGTCAACCACCGAAGCCAACCACCGCAACTATCCTACGACACGACGTGTTCTAACGTCGTTAGGGGAGGAGCTCCAGGACCAACAACGACTGTGAGCGACTGTCGCCACCTTCATCCGCCATTTCCGTTGAAGACGAAACCGTCGAGCTCTGCTGTTGCTGTAGCGCTGTTGTTGAAGGCCAAGGCTGCCATGGGACGTCATGGCAGCGGATCACCGGAAGAAACGCGTCGGTGGTCATCGTTGCGGCTATTTCCGGTGGGAGTCGCCCACCCTCTTCGCTTCTTCTTCTTCTTCTGATTGCATCGCCACCACCGCTCCAGCGACTGTTCCACCGCTATCGTACACCACCGTTAGCTGCTGTTGTTGCCGCCGTTCGTGCCACTGCCACTGTCGTGCACCACCAGGTGGGTGGTTGTGTTCCTGTTCCGGGCAAAGCGTGTGTGGGTGTGTTTCTACTGCTAGTGTGTGTCGTGTGTATTGTTTGCTTGGTCGAATATTGCAAGAAAAGCCATCACCACCACCGTGAGGTGGTGGCTGTCACCTCCGACCACCGCCTGCCGCCACGAGGGTGGCTGTATGTGTGTGTGTGTGTTTAGTGTATGTGTTCTTTGGATATTATGTTGTATAATCATATTTGGTGGCCAAAATAATCAAGGAAATCCACCACCACCACCGTGAACTGGTGGCTGCCGCCTTCTGCCGCCACCAGCCGCCGTGTTGGGTGGCAGTGTGCATTTGTGTGATTGGATTGCTGTTATAGACGCTTGGACATGTTTGGTCTAGAATCATAACCACCACCACCACAAGGTGGTGGCTGCCGCTGTAAGCCACCATTGACCACCACTACCCGAGGTGGTAGTGGGTGGTGTCCGACTTAATTAACATTAATAAACCTAAAAACATAACCAATTGACTAATTGGCACGCGATTAGGTTGGAAACCCTAATTAGGGTTTAGAAAACCCTAATTTTGGATATGCTAGTTTTGGAATTGTCGGGACCCGTATTTTGGACCATTGGATTGGAATTATGAATTAAGCCCGATCACATTGTATGTTTGGCCTGGTGGATTGATGGGCTTAATGGATTAAGTCCTTAATGTGTTAAGTAAGAACACTTAACCCTAATCGTCATTTTATGTGAAAAACCCTAAGTAGGGTTGGGTTCTTGTTGGGCCATTTCTTGGACTAAGTGATAGTTTCGTTTTTATTACTTCTTTTCATAGTTTATTTTTAGTTAAAACCATCTCATTTTAGTTAATCTTCATGCATATTTTCTCTTTTTATTATTTTTCTCCTTTACCGGGTGCTTTCCTGTCTTTTGAGCTTATTTGAAGGATTTACCGAAGACTATTTGTCATTGGAGGTATGGAAGGAGTGCGGGACTACTGGAGGTTTACAATCTGTTCGTGGGCTTGAAGTGGTGCAATTGGGCTTGGTGTCAGTATAAGTGAGAAGCTCGTTGGACTTAATCTTTGGACGAGGACTCGAGTTACGGAAGACTAAAGAAGCATTGGACCATCATTGGAGGCTTTGGAATAACATAATTGGGCTCCCAAGAATTGATGCATTTGGGCTGGGATGATAATGGAAGATTGGGTTGGATTGCAAGTTAAATGGGCCAAGTCTCACAATCAGCGAGACCCACGCGGTCCGCGTGGATCGTGCTGTGGTGAATCCGGGTTTTGACTTTTTGACTCTATTTTGGGAAGGTTGGTGGATGGCTTTTGGTGAGCTTTTGAATCCAGAAATAAGCCCTTTTTACTGGAGATTTGAAAGGGAATTCATTATCAACACTCTCAAAAACTACTCTTTTGCTCTCAAGAAAAGTTTGGAAGAAATTGAAGATTTTGAAGATTGGTGTAATTTCATTTAATCTTGCACTTTGAATCATGTTTGGTATCTCTAAACTATCTTGTATTTCTTTTATTTTGGTCATGCTTGGCTAGATTCACATTTGGTTGATTAGGGTTTAACCCATGGATAATTAGTCGCTTTGAAGACTTCATATTATCTTGTGTTTGAACTTTATGGAAATGTTTTCTAGTTAAACATCTTCTTGTGTTTATTTATCTTTGATCATGAGCTTTGATGAATGAATGCTTATTTTTGTTGACTAATTTCTTGGTTAAGTAATGGACCCTCAAATTAGTAAGCAACAAATGGTTTATATGTTTGTTTTCATTTCATTTAGACCATGGAAATGTTTCCTCCATAATGATAATGTAAGCATTTGATTATCTTTTGGACTTGGTAACTCTTAGAACTTAAAGCTAATTTATTTTCACAAGATTATATGCTTCATTGATTTTGTGACTTTAATTAAGGAAATGTGTTGAGAGCTCCTCTAACCATTTTAATAACTATGAAAAGTTGAGGTAATTTGTGCTTATGAATTGCTATAGCCAAGTTAAATTAATTCACAAGTGTTGTTCCATTTAGTCTAATGATAAGTCGACTATGTCATCCATGTGGTGTATCCCAAAATCAACAAACTTCACTTCATTGAATTTAATCAAATCTTTTACTTGCTTACTTGTTATATTTACATTCTAGCTTAACTTTAATTTTCTCAAACAATCAAAAAGAATTAACCCCCCCCCCCCCCCCGCCCATTTTACCTTTACTCTTGTTTTACAAGTACTTAAACAAGTGATTTACATAGAGATTTAAATTGAACCAATCTTCGTGGATACAATCCCTTTACCCCTATACACTATTTTAGTGTGTAATATTTAGGGTATTTATTTTGTTGGCCTCGACAACCGCCACTAAGTTGTTGTGGGCCAATTGGGCCAATTGGGAACAAGTTTATGGACTAAGGAAATTATTGGGCTTTAGGATAAGGCCCATTGGAAAGACTTGGGCCCAATTTTGAAAATTAGGCCATAGGTGGGCTATAATTGGGCCTTGATAATTATGAGATATTGGACCATTGGAATGCCAAGTGTTTGGACCAGAATAAATGGTTGGTCCTTTAGGTAAGACCATGTGAGGGGTTTGGGACCAATTTGGAAAATTGGGCCATATGTTGGGCCTTATATCATTATTTGGTTTTTGGGCCTTCAGAGTGTGAGTTTGGGCCTTGAGCTTGAATCAAGCTAGGTTGGGAGTAAAGTAGTGTTTTTACCCCAAGCATGGACTTATGGTTATGTATTGGAACCCAATTATTAATTGGGTGTTGTTTTAATGTTGACAGTTCGGGAATCTGTCATCCAGCAGCTAGAGTTTTGTCCGCGGGACTTCAGCAGTGCGATGTGAGTTACCTTCCTGTAGAAGTGGGTCGAAGGCACCAATGTCGGCCCACTAGTAGCTGATTATAGTAGAAATGATTGTCTTTGTGATAATTGTATGGTATGCCACTATCTGTTATGTTTTATGTGCTAATATGCTATGATATTATGTGATAGTGGTAGGACGGGTGGATTAGCCCCCGTAACCGGTTGAGCTAAACCAGAAGTAGGTCGGGCACCCAGATATGTCTGACAGTATGTTATGCTATGTTATTATGTGGTAGTGGTAGGGGTGAACAGGGCCGGCCGCGAGATTTCAGTGGCCCCGTTCAATTTAACAAAAAAGGCCCTAAAACTTAAAAGACCTAAAAATTTAAGCAAATTTTTTTCCATGCACAATTACAATATACATAAAATAAAAATTCATTCAAATAATACACAAAAAAAAAACGAAATTTGCTTCAACTTGAAAATTGTCATCCTTCCAATAGGTTTCTCTTGGTCTTCAGCAGCCTCTTCATGAATAACTTTATCCAAAATGTTTCTCTCAATCTTTTATCGAAACCAATCTATTAAATTGTTCTTGAGCCACAGTAGATCATATGTCTTCAATATGCATTCAAATTTGTAAGTGAATTCTTGGTTTTCG